CAAGTGTTGAATTTTTAATGTGGTTCTTGAGACCCATTCCAATTTCTAAGCATTGATTTGAAGTATAACATTTAGATACTAATTTTGATAAGATGTATCTTTAAACTTCTTCCTTATCCAATGCTCTAGTTTCAGAATTATTTACTTGACTTACTTCCAAGAGTATACCTTAATCTTTGAAGGCATGTCAAAACTATCAGAACCATTCCCCCAGCTAGGGCATCTCGAATCGCCCCAGTCAAAGACCTTTCCTGGTTTTTTATCCACCTTTTTTCCGTTGTTTTGTTTGGCGAAGCGCCTTTCCTTCGCATCGGTCCCTCGTCTTCGCTTTGGCATTGTCTGTTAAATTACGTATACGCCTCGCAGCGCACAACTTCCAACCGTTGGCTGATGTGTGTGTGTGTGGCATGCAAACAAAAGCCGCTTGTCTGTCAGAGTCGAACTTGAAAACTTTCTTGCGTTGAGATTTCTTCTTCTATTTTTTTTTTATTTCGGGCTTGGGTTGGCGCAAAACACAGGAACAACAACAAAAATGAGTTGTAAATGTCAAAAGCGTTCGGAGGATGCCGTAGACAATTTTCAAATGCTGGCAATCTGCAAAGCAATTTGAAAAGAAATGAAAATATGCGCAATAATTTACACCCTAGGCAATTTTTTGCCCGCCATGCCAGGACTCCATACTATTATCTATTCTTGTTTGGATTCTGTCGTTATGTTTATACCAGTTATGCGAAGAACAGACGGGTATACAGCATATTTGATTGGTTTTCAGCAATTTGTGATCGAATTATATTTTATTAGGTCAAAGGTTTTGTAGCACTGAAGTTGTTTCATTAAAAAAATGTATCTACTTCTATAAATAAACTGTTGTAGCCAAAAAAAATATATATATTACAGTTGAATACAGTCAATTAAATATATCATTAAATGACATTGGGTTATAGTTTAGTCGCTTTTACTCGCAATTGCACGTCAACAAATTATAAACGTTTGCGCAATTTAATTAAATCCTTTATGATAATTTATAAAACGGTGATATAATTGTTTTTTATCAATGTATTCTGCAATATAGAAATTAAATACTGGTTGTCAACCGTAGTATGGGGTATCCCAAAGTCGAAAATCGGAACCGTGGGTTCCTAACTCGCTTTCGGTCCTTGTTGCTTGTGGCATGACAACTCTTCAGCAGGCGAATGACGATTCTGATGGCCACCCATGTCCTCCGAGTCCTTCGCCTTCCATGTGTGTGTGTGTGTTTTGGCTGTAAGCAGCTGTCAGTGATTTCTGACAAATTGATTTGACAGTCGACAGGCGACCAAGGGGAACCGAAAAGCGGAGAGCGGGGCGGTACGAACTTTTGGGCCGGGCAGCAAGTCGGGCGCGTGTGCTAAAAAAAGATGAAAGCCGCCGTTCGCCGTTGCTACCATTACCAATACCAATACTGATACCACCACCACCACCACCATTACTCTGGTTGCCATGTCTATGCGTGTGAGAGAGGCTGGGCCGCTCTTTTGGCCAAAAGAGAAAGCAGCCAAGCAGAAGCAGAAAAGCAGAAAGCAAAAGCAAGGCAGCGCCAAAGAGTTGCTGCCTCGAAGAGCAGAGCGTGGTGAATTTTTTTATGCTGCCTGTGTGTATATGGATTTGTTATTGTTATACCCTGCAGGCCAAAGGGTATGCCATGCTACACGGGGAGAAAACAAGACCGGAAAGTGACATATTTGACACGGTTTTTACTTCCGGGAAATCACTACTTTATGATTCATTGACCATTTATCTTAGAAAGATAAAGGATGCATTTTATAATGATCAAAACATAAGTACAACTGGTAGCATTTAATAATAAAATGTATCTACCTGTATTTTGAACTCCTATTCGTAAACTTATATTAAATTATTATAATTATATATTCGAAACAAAGAAACTTATTTCAATCAATGGTATAAGTGATTACATTATAATACCATATTGTAGAGCTATTATGAAATGTTGATAGTGGGAATGGTTTTCATTTGTAATATTAAATTAAGAAACATTCTGTTCTAATGCTTTATTTTTTTAAATTTAAGTTAAGAGAAGGAATTAGTCTCCTAATCCAAATTCACCTAAGTTTTCTAAAATTTATGTATGCATATGGCCTTATAAAATCTATATGACAACTATAAATCAATTAATACGATATCATCACTTATCATTATCATTAATTCGATATTAATACATATCATTATCCTTAATACTATATCATACTTATCATTATCATTAATAATAGCTTTTACAAAACACAATTCCAAGCCTCGGTCTTCTTAGTAAGACCAACTTCTAGTACTTTTTTCTCAGTGCCAAAATCAGAAGATTAAAGTTACGTGGGGTTAATAAAATGAAAGAAGTTGCTTTAGAATATTTTCCGGTAGATGTTTTTGTTTGCCTCGCTTTCCGCTTTCTGCTGCCAGTTAGTTACAGCTAGTTACCTGCTGCGCCGGGCTCAGCGCAGTAACTTTAGCTGCTGCTTGATTGACGTTCCAACTGATTGACTAGACTAGTGACTGACGGACTGGACTGGAATCGGAGGGGGTGCCTGGGGGCTAGGGAACCCCCCCTGCAGCATAACAAATGGCTGCGGTGGGGTGGTTAAGGGAGTGGACTTTAAACAGGCATGGGAAAATGCCATTAGATGAGCAGCTGCCAACGTCAGTGAACGGCGTCTCTCACTTGACAGTTTTATTTATAAACTGTGCAAATAAAACTGTAAATCACTAGGGACACAGCCAGCGAAAGGCGGGGGGAAAGTGACCTACATAGAAGGCAGGCCTGGCCAAAAAAAAAAATACTTGGAACGAAACGAAACAGAAATAAAATATATAGAGCTCGGCACACTGGGAAAACGAACCATGCCGCCACAAATCAAACAATTAATTTCACTGTCTGAAATTCCAGCACTAAATCAACAGCCAAACAATTGAACCATTTAACTATGTAAATAAAATTAATGCCCCCGCCCCACGAAAGTGGAAGATGGCTAAGAATGGGGATGGTTGGTAATGGGGGGATAAAGCCGGACAGTTCCACCTTATGCCAGCAAAATATCCATTAAAAAGCAATCAATATATGGAAAATAAATGCCAGTCACCCGGCCCCATTCGTCCGCTCATCTCATTTCATCTAGTTAAGAGCCTCTGTCGGCCGCATAATCTGAATTTAATTTACCCCGCAAACACGGGGTGCACAAAACAGCACGAAACGAGAATGAAAATGAAAATAAGGCAAACAAAAACTGAAAAATGTCAAAAACGAAAATGAACTTTCACGGGGGGGTGGCCTAGTGGGCCTAGTGTTAGTGAATGGCCATTAAGTAGCACACCCATAGAAAAAGGACCCAAGGAGCTCAAGCTCAAGGTGAGTTTGCCAGAGAGAGATGGGGCATCGAAAAAGAGAGAGCAGGTCGGCCGAAAATATTCCACAGTGAGTTGCCATTTTGCTGCTCCAACATAATTTGTATGCCCCAGCCTCCAGATCCCCCCTCAACCAGCATCACACCACGCCCCTGTGCGCCTTACTTGACCTGATTCTGGTGACGTCATTCGCAGGGTGGGCCCCACTGCGAATACGTAATGTGCGAATCGGGCTGCATTAGGCTGGTTGGCAAGTGGATGGCTTGATTAAATAGAAATACATTATATTATTTCATTTGTTCAAGCACAAAGACCGCATACAAAAGGGTAAGGCAAGTCAGCATCTTTCCCGAATTTCTCCTCTATTTGATTTTGACGTGCCATTGACCAGCCACAAATATCTGATATCTTCAATTTTCAGCTGCAACTTGGTGGGGGAAATGGAATCAAAAAAAAAAAAACGAAGAGCCAACATGCAACTTTTAAGGCAGGGAGAACTGACAGCTGGCACCAACTTATAACTCAAAGTGCTAGGGCTCTGTGTGCCCCGCAGCAGTTCCTCCTTTATTTTTTGCCCCACGAACAAGAAAAACACACACACACACACACATACACGTAGAAAGTGACGGTGAAAAGATACAAAACTTGCAAAAACGAGAGGGAAAAAGAAAAGTTTCAGTTACGTGCTGTTGCTTTTAATTGAATTTTTTCCCACTGTAGCAGAAGCCTTCGCCCTAACTGGCCGCTGTGGGCAGCCAATGGTCCAATGGCCTGACCAAGCACATCCGCCCGCCACTTCCGCCGGTGCCCCTTTTCCCGCCTTTCCCACTTTTCCCGCTTTTCCCACTTTCCCAGCCCCAGCCCCGGTTTTCCAGCCTCCTTAGCATGAGCAGACTCCTGCTGGAGGGCAGTTTTCTTGTTATTTCCAACGCGCAGCCAAGTCGCAAGTCCTTAAGCGGTTTATTTTGCTTCACACTGATTTGCAGGCACGGAGGTGTCCCGAGGACCCATCCCTGCCCATCCCCCCTACACTTGAAATTAAAAATGGGGATTACCGCCATCTAAATACGAGTTATGCGATTATTTGGTGGGAAAAGTAGCTGCCTTGAAGGGGAAATGCCTTAAACCCTCTGGTCGAAATTGAGTCACATATTTTAAATTAATTTCCACAGCTTAACCTTTAAAACTTTATTATAAAAGAAAGTTATAGGATTACATTTTTAACTTAATAATTATAATTATTTAGGTAAATATTTTTTTTGAATTTTTCAAAATAATGCTTAAAACCTTAAGAGAAATTTTATGAAAACCCCGAACTTCCCTCAAATTTAATAACTCTTCCCTCAGTGCAGCTTTCCTCGATTTGCTGCTGCCAGTTTTTATGCAGCAAGTTTTTAATTAAGAAGTTTCAATTTAACATTGCCCATAGACTGCACTCCGCTGGAGCTCGAAAAGCGCATTATCATAATAATTTACTTACTCACTTAGCGGGGCGGGGCACTTCAGAGCATAATTGTCGGCCTGCTTTTCTGAATGGAGCACTCACTTCCTTTGCTCGCAAAGGCAAGGAGATAGCTCTCAATTCGGAAGTATATTTGATTATTTTGGAACACAATTACTGCCGCACATTACGAAGCTCGGCGAGGGATACGGAGATCGGGGAGAACTGTTTTAGGACCGCATGGTGCGATCTCGGTCCTCTTAAAGATGCCAGGTCATTTGGCACGTTTTGTGGTCCTGCTCTTTTTAATCGTAATCTTCCTAGCGGTTGGTGGCTACTACACTTATATGCACCCGAAACAAGTTCGTAAGTTGCGTGATCATTTCTTCCAGACCATTTTGATCATAAAACCTTTTATTGCAGATCTAGAAAGCTGTTATTTGAATGGTGGCTCCTGCCGAGAGTTGTGGAACTGCGAGGACAGGTTCCACAGTCGCGTCCTCACCACCTGCTTCAACAAGCGGAAGATCTGCTGCATGCCCTCGATCCAGATGAAGAGTCTTCAGGATGCCGAGGATTACGCCGAGTGAAGAACTTCCGGATCGTGGTCTTTTAAACTCGAGAGCAGGCCGAACCGCTTGGAGGAACTACGATATTTATTGCAAGCCTTGTCTTTCATTGAATGTATCATTTCGTAGGCAATTTATATTGTTGGAATAATCACTTGAAATTGTTATTCCGGACCGGGTGTTTCTAAATTTATAGTTATTGGTGGCTGTTCCAAATTAGATAGTGTTACTTCCTTATTGAAATCGTTCCTAGTGCTTTTTATTACATATTCTCTCGGTTGTAGCCATTTTTAGTTTAAATTCTTTGCTAATTAGGGATCTTTAGCATACATTTTCTGTTAATGTTAAGGTAAAATTGAGCCTCTATTATTTCTATATTCCCCTTACCACATCCCTTGGCCTGTTTTCCTCGCAGTGCCCACCTCGCCGACACTCAGATCGAACTCTATCCAATTATCTGGCCGACTATCAATTCCACTGGTCCATCAATTGAATCGTTATGCCTGCGATAAGTTCAACATTCTGTCTGGCCAGCATCCTTTGGCCATTCCCCATCCCGAACCCCATTCCCCAACCCCATTCCCTGCTGCCCGGAAGGCCCTGGGCTAATTTAGTGAGTTTGCTTTGCCATTTTGCCCACCAATAACACTCGCAACTCATTTGTCTGTTCCCGGGACTGCTTAGCCCAATCCATGGGGCCATTCTGGCACTCCCAACGGGCCCTCGACGAGCAACACTTGGCATTGTCCCACACATATGCGTCCTCCACCAACCATCTAACCAACCATTTTCCCCATCTCTAATGAAGCGCAAATGTTGATGTAAAAATTTAATTTAGTTCGTAACCCAACGATGCCGCACACGCAGGTCCTTGCGATTTTCCTCGCCGAATGGCTGGAGCGAATGGAATGTCCAAATGTTTATGCATCGTGTGGCGAAACGCGTGTTTACCTTCTAATGTGTGCGTGACATGGACCCATGGGTTATGTATGCGCACACACACATACCTCCCCGTGCATTGAACATTACGTATACGCAGGGATGTCCTTCACTTCGTTTCGCTCCCTTCGCTGGCTACACAAAAAATAATAATAAACGATGCCACCACGTACATGTATTAAAAACAAAGCGCAGCACAGAAAACGCTGACAGGCGGCCCTTTGCCTTCGGTTGCTCCAGCTCCAGCTCCAGCCTGGGATCCTGGAGGACACCTCCTGCTCCTGCTCCTGCTCCTCGATCCCCTCTTGAGCGACTCCCATGAAAACCATGGTCGCTGGTACCCTGCGAACCGGCAACAGAAGCCCCTCACAAAGCAAAGCTAACAAACTGTGAGCGGAGCGTAGCAGAAACAGCGACCAGCGACCGGAAGGGAGTGCAGTGGCGCGACATGGAGGGGGGTCAAGGAGGTGCGGGAACCCAAAAGGGGTTGCTGTCGGCCCAGACATTCAATGTCGCTCGCTGGCAGCCAGCGATGTTTACGAGCACAGTGCCCTCCGGCTGGCGGAAAACTATCAAATTTCATTTGAAACACAAATTACGAAATATTAGTTACTGCCACTAATTATGATTTGATAGTGATTAGTTTTTATGACCACGCCTGTGGGCATTTTAATAACTGTCTATTCCGATTGATTTTGATTTTGAATCTGGATTTTATGGGATTTAATTAACAGGGCTATCAAATCACTTTTGAAGTCAGTTCAGGTGTCTAAAAGTATGCAACAATATTTTTAAAACAAAGTAGTATGAGTAATATGTATTCACTGCATACTTTTAGGCACCCAAAGTGACATTTGAAGAGATTGTACAACACTAATGATTTTCTTGCCATTTTATATGACTGAGAACTGCTCTCTAAAGATCCAACTGACTTTTATTATTAATAACTTTTAATTATTAAAAAAAGTATTATTAGTTGCAATCCAAAAATGCTTGGTATAACATGAAAAGCTTTAAACAGGTATTTCAAATATTTTAAAGTTTCTATTCAACCCTTAACCCTAACATATCCCAAAATCTGATTTGCAAAATCAACTTTGAATAAAATTAGTTTTGGCCACGCCCCAAGCCAGTGTAACATGCACACTTTCAGGCAGGAAAAACTAACGAACGACATCGGCGGGTCCTGGCAAAGGACCCTGCACATGGACGGGGTGAAGGCTTGGACCCGCCTGCCACTAGCAACCCCCCTGCAAACCCACCTCTGTGCCACCTGCTCTGAAGTCCTCCTCTTGTTTATGGCTTTGTTTGCACTTTTGTTTATGGGTGTACATTTTAAACGCTATGAGCACCTGCTCCGCCGTCATGTGTGGCTGCCTTTGTGAGGATGTGGGCGTGGATGTGCCTGTGTGACCGTTCCGTGACTTGTACTTCCCCCAAGCCCACGAACCCCACGAACCCCAGATTGCACACCCACCTCTGTTCCAGGATGGCCACAAAACGAAGCCGGCTTCAGTGTCAGCTGACAGATGCAGTGATTTTAAGCGTCCATCAAAAGCTCCTGTTTGACATTTAATTGTTGCACATTGTTGTCGTTGTGGCCGAGCAAAGAGCAAAGAGCACGGAGAACCAGGATCCCCATCCACATCCACGTCAACGGACAATCAGGGTTTACTTTGGTCATTGTTACCCGGGTTCAAGGTGAGCTGCGGCCAAATTTAACACGGCCAAACCATAAAAGACCAAAGTCATGTGCTTTATTACACATTCAACGGCAATGCGGCAGGAGATTATAGCTTTGGTGAACCTATACCCGGGAATCCAGGTGTGTGCACTGTTGTTAGAGGTGGAAATCAGAGCGTGACTCTGTGGGTTTCTTGGGTCTGCAGTGGCAAATTACATTTCGTTTGTCAGCGGGCTGAGGTTTGCCTTAAATATTGTGCATTTAACATCAAAAATAGGTGCAATTAAAAATATACTCACTCAAAAATGGTAAGGATTGATGGAGGCTAGCTTACCGCTTTATCAAAAGTGTCTTTGAGATCTTACACTAGAAGTATTACACAGAATGTTCACAAGAACAGAAGACTTAGGAGTAAACTTAAATTGGGGAATAAAATAAATAATTTCAGATAAACATTAAAATGTAAAATAATTCATAAGTCTAAGTAAACTTCTTGTTAAAATTGAATTTAAGTAAAATGTGTATTTTTAAATCATTATATAAAATGCTTTTAAAAGCTTTAATATCAAAAGAAAAACTAATGAAATTGAACCTTATTAAGAAAATTATTGTTCTTTAATTTGTAAAAGACAAAAATCATACAAAATGGTTAGTTTTTCATTAAATATTTAGATGTCTTTACGATAGGTTGCTAAAAATGCAAGCATATGGTCAAAGAAATCACATAAAAAGTAATACCACTCAAGTGAAATGGGAATTACTTTATGTATCATACAACATTTATGTTGTGAATAAAAGTGTTCGGGCAAAACAAACAGAAAGACCTAAGAGATGAACTTCTGTCCCTGAGGCGAATGTCATTAAAAATATCCGTTTTCAGGTGAAAGTAGAAAACATGTTGTGATAAAATATTAAAGTTTTTGAATTAAAGTTTAACGAGTTCAGGTGGGTTAAGGTGAGGGACTCGCCCTCAACCCTGTGACAAGATGTCCATCCCAACCAAAAATCCAGAAACAAACACACACCCTAAGCATTCAGCCTTGAAAGAAAAACTTGCAAAAGTTTACACGTGTTGGCAAACGTTTTGTGGCTTCAGTTTTTGGAATATTTTTTTTGTCTTTCGGGTTGGCTTCTGCCTAATTTCCAACTGTCACCCGAGATGGCTTTTGGACCCCGGAACTCACACACACACACACATGTGCGACCATTTTCTAATGGCCTTTTCGTGGTCAAGCATTTAAGCGTTCCGGACCTCTGAAACCCCGAACCCCGAACCCCCAACCTCGAACCCGCAAAAAACCCGTTTAGCCCTCACCTTTGACTCGATGTCACTTTGGTTTACTTTTGTGCAACCGCAAAAGTCGTTGTTGCTGTTGTAAAATCCAGATTCGCACACAAACATACGGTCACCCATACTCGCATATAAACATACTTATCCGTGTGCACATGCATGGGCCCACACATACCTGCACACCTTTTCTGACCATTTCGCACACGATGTTGCGGTCGTGTTGACATTTTAAATGCCTTTTCATTTGTCTCCCGCTTTGGGCGCTAATTTCGTTCCATTTGGGCTTTAATGCCGCAAAACTTGACTGGGCATTGAATTTAATTGAATAGTGCGGTCTGACCTTAGTGATAAAGAGGCAATCTGTTCTGGAACCACCTTTAAAGAGGTCCTAATTTGACTAGGTCTATAGTTATGAACCAGTAATAGAACTCCTCAGTTATTTTCTTGTGAGATTCTACCAAAAACAATGGTAATAAAATTAAGATGATATTTTATCTTTGAATACTAATGACCCCACAGTGACATTTAAGCTCTGACATGCTCGAATCTCATGTGTGTGCTTAATCCTCCAGGCACTAGCTACCCGTCTCTCTCTCTGCAACATCTTTGCTCTCTTTCTCACACTCTCATTCTCTCCTTTTCACATCCTCTTATAGATGGTCGCAGCTGGTGGCAAAAGTTTTGCTGCAAATACAAAATATTTTCCATATTAGTTTAGAGTTTTCCCCTCCCATTCCATTCCCCAGCGAGTTTTGGTTTTTCTGCTTTTTAGTGGTGGCATTAATTAAATTTTCATTTTCCTAAGGATACTTCCATCTGTGCTGGTGTAAGAGTTTTTAGTTCCTCTCTTTCCGATTGAATTTTTGGGCAGAGCCCTTGGCTGGTGGGGCAATTAAAACCGAATTTTCCACACGCAGCGCTCACAAAGCGTTTTGGATGTAATTAAAAAATATCACGTATACGACGCATGGGCCCCAAGGGGCCGATATGCGAGGCCTATTTATGACCGACCAGCATGGCTATATTTTTTATTCCTAACTCTGGCTAATGGCCAAAGAAGCACGCACATTTTTCGGTATTTAAGTTCAGTTTTAATGGCTGCAGCTTGGGGCTTGAAAGCGAGCGGCCAAATCAATTTGGCTGATTCATTAGTCATCTCTCTCGCCTTTGAGGAATTTCTCCAAACTTTTCCCCATCAATGCCTGCGCTTTGCCAATTATCCCACACAATGGCAACGGACAAGCAATTAAATCATTTTCGATTGATTGATTTTAGTGGCACTCACGAATCGCTATTTACCAACATACACTTTCGAGTCTCGCAAATAAA